AATGCATGCAAAAGATCTGTTGTTCTCAAACACTCTGTCATTTGAAATTAACTTGTATGTTGTAAAGAAAAAAAAAATCATTCATACATACGATGTCCGACGCAACAATGAAACAAACCGATTACCCTTGAAGCCAAATAAAATCTCTGCTATGGTTGTGATATATCACATTAATGTGACACCCATTCATGATTGCATTTCTCACTCTCTCACACTCATTTCGCATGTAGAGTTGTACATTTAGGCAAGACGACGAGCTCAATATTTGCAGCTCGTTTGTTCATCTGTCACTTGTAAATGTATTGGCTATGATCAATGTTTGTGCAATGGCTCAGATAGATTTCTTTTTTCATCTCTCCTCTCAGCTTTGCAATTGACTACTTTTCACCCATAGACAGCGCTCTGGTTCTCATATTAGTTACACATCTAACTGTAACTGTTGCCTGCATACGCAAAACCCAAATTCCAAGCCTGAGTGTCGGCATTCAACACTGCTTGTGGTTTGAATAATCAATGTAATAGGACATAGCCATCTGCCTCAGTTCTTTTGCTCACATGATAAACAGGTGGGTTCGAAGAAAGGGTGCTTCCAAGTTGTCTGTCAAATGCAGAAATAAAAAAATTTTAAAAAACTGGAACGCTTATCTCAAATTCATATTGTGATGTCAAACCCAAATGATTTCATTTCCAGACAGATTATTGGCACATGCAAGTTTTCTGTCCATCCTCTATTCCAGTGTTTCCCAGCCTTCACTGAACCAAGGCACCCATTTTATCGTGGTAAAATCTTGCAGCACACCACCAAACAAATGTAAAAAAAAAAGTACCAATACTGAAAGTTGAAATTCAACTGCAAAGGACAGTCAGGATTGCCGAGAAGATCATTGGCACCCACTCTTGAGGACTTGCACGCTGCAAGAACTAAGACAAGAGCTCGCAAAATTTCATTGTACCCATCACATCCTGGTCATCACATTTTCCAGCTCCTTCCCTTGGGTCGGTGCTATCAATCAATGCACACTAAAAACTGCAGACATTCCAGTAGCTTCTTTCATTTTGCCATTAACTTCTTAAACAGTTGACTTATAATTCTAAAGAGACATTTTGCCAGTTTTGCACATCGCTGCAGTGATATTTTTACTGTATACATTTTGTAGTTTAGTCACTCTGTGTTATTTGCAGAACTTGTGGATCAATTTTACCATACCACTGGACAATATCAAATATTTGAGGACTCTCTGCATAAGTGTCACTGCATCAGAATAACCACATTAGTGGTCACTTTAAATCACTTGGCGACTTTCTGCACCATTTGCACAATTGTCATTGTATCAGCATTCACGTTCTACTGGCCACCTTACATTGCTCAGTGCCTTTCCCTATTTATGTGTCCAAGTCTAACAGTGTATTTGGATTAATGGCCTGTTCAGACTGGAATGGCTTCAACGACTGGAGATAAATGCCTTGTGTGTTTTTAAATATGCTTGGCCAATAAAGATGATTGTTATTCTGGTTCTGAAAATGATGATCTCATCTCTATTTACTCACAAATTGACTTACTCAGTGTGAGGTCTGGGCCCATTTTTTTGGTTTGATTTTTTTAAACACAAAGCCAATATGCTTGCAGGAAGATAAAAAATGTATTGTATGTTCTGCTATCTGATAGAACAGAATTTAATTGTTCTGTCTGTTACTATATGTCACTGGCATAGGTAAAGATTAAGACATAATTTGTCTTCATATATATATATAGCGCAGATGCTAATTAGTGCTTTTTTTTCTGCCACAGTACTCACCTACTTGCAGATTTGGTAGGTTCATCATGGGTGTGACAGAACAGGGCTGCACTTTTTATTGTCATTCACTGTTAATTGGCTCTTTTCCAAATGAATAAGTGATCCATTTGGTATGTGGATGACAGGCCAAATGTTTTTTTTTTTTTTAACCTGGCAATACTAGGTCGTTCAACAGTGAAAACTTGTGGGTGTGTAATATGGTGTGGAACACATTTGACTTTAATGGAGCGAACAGAGTTCATGTCTGGTCATGTTTTTCTAAACTGTAATTTTTCATTGTATTGCAGAAGATTTTTGGTTGACGAACCTCATAATTTATTTGCTGTGGCCATGCTGTAGTTCGCAGATGATACTTAAGTTACTGCCTCGTGAAAGTTCTGCTCGGTTAACCAAAATCCACAAGTTTACCCTATATTTTAAGTCAATTGTGGATTTTGGCCTCGATCTGTTACATTCCGGGTGTGGACAAATTACTGTTTATGGCATACAAGGGAATGACATATCTTAATGTGTTGGTTTTGTCATGGTTTTGCTCTATCTGTGTGTGTGTGTGTGTGTGTGGGGGGGGGGGGTTGTTTGTTTTAACACCAGCTGGAGTGGAAGGCGTGCCTCTTCAGTGACACACTTGTGTCTTGTTCCTAATCAAGTATTTAAGGACTGCCAAAATCCCAAATCTCTGTTGGATTATTGACCTTGCTTGCTATTTATGTTCAAGTGATATTTTTGAGACCTCTTGCCCATGTTCATAGTTGCTCCTGTTTCGCTAGATTCTTGTTTAGTAAGTATTTTGGTTCTCAAGGGATTTTGGACTACTTTAAGTTTCGTGTGTATGGTTTCTTGTCTTTCGTTTTGAGTACTTTCGGTTGTAAAATTTACCTCGCAGTTTGCAAGCACTTTCTGTTCATACCTGGTTTTCCTGGCTTATTTTTGCCAACGATTTCTGTTTATACTTTATAAATAAATAAATATTTTTTTGTAATGTAGTTTTCCTGAGTCCGCACTTTTGGGATTTCCCCCTCCACCTGGTTCGTGTTAGGACCGTGTCAGGTTTAGCACATTTGTTTTTTTGGCTGGTTTCTATACTATGGTAACTCTCAGTTTCAAAAAGATTGGTGACCGCTGAATAGTGAACCCTTACCATGATGGGAGTAGCAACGAAAACCGTTCTCGTGCCGGAATATCATAAAGTACAAGCATGACAGGCTTCCTCATCTGAATTTGCAGCACAGCTGAGGCGATGCGTTTCAAAGAGAGTAGTGTTTGAATGGCTGCTATGTGGGAGCTCAGAGTCTCTAGCTATGGATTAAGCTCAAAGCAAATAGTAGCATTGAAGAAACTGAGGTAATCTCTTCCCTCTCCACCGTGGCCCACTCACCATACCTGTCCCCCCATTTTTAATCCCCTTACTGAATTAGTTTTTACAAAGCTGTTCAGAACGGGGTTTAATTCACAGTGGTTACAGAGGTTAGTGTAACACGAGAATGATCCTGTCTCTGTTTCCCTGAAAGTTAATTTGCTGAAAGATTGATGCACTTTTCATATGGCTAAAGTAACATCATGGAGGGTTACAGTGCATGTCGGTATTTTGATTAATGTGGCAGATCATGAACGGCATCCAGCAGCCAGGTAGATCAAAGTATGGACAAGTAGCTTTTGGAGATGTGCACTCAGCGACCCGACTCAGTGGTGTATCAGGACCTCTTCATCGTCTTCACTCAGTAACTTTCAAATCCAGTTTAATCACCTACAGTGCTCGGGATAATTTACCCCACAGCGTTCTGTATTAGCATAAATGTACTTTCGTTTTGCATCCTGATATGTTTCTCTCCAATTTTACAGAAGATTCAAGTTATAAAAGAAATTTCCATCCAAGGAACCAGCACACTCACAGCCAAAATCTGCCTGCACACCACATCTCTGTGTAGATTAAAGTTGTAATGCAGTATTTAGTTGTGTTTACGGTAACTCTTGCACATTAGTAACAGCGCAAACATGCCTATGTGAAGACAAAATGGAACAGAACTACAGTAAGTACTGTAAATCATACAATCACTGAAACAAAAACCTTGTGCCAACACAAACATGAAAGGTGGATTTGCATAAAGGTCCATATCCCTTAAATTATGCTAAGTATGATAAATACAGGCAGCACAGCGGTCTACTGGTTAGCATGTTTGCCTCACAGTGCAGAGGTGGGGGATTCGATTCCAACTCTGGCTTCCCTGTGTGGAGTTTGCATGTTCTCCCTGTGCCTGCTGGGTTTACTCAGAGTATTCCGGTTTCCTCCCACATTCCAAAAACATGCATGGCAGGCTGATTGGACATCTAAATTATCCCTGGGTGTGATTGTGAGCACAAATGGTTGTTTGTCTATGTATGCCCTGCGATTGGCTGGCAACCAATTCAGGGTGTACCCCGCCTACTGCCCGAAGATAGCAGGGATAGGCTCCAGCACACCCGCGACCCTTGTGAGGATAAGAACATGGATGGATGGATGTTAAATACAGGTCAGCGAAATGTTTCATGGAATTCATTTACAAAATAGGTAACTAAACCATTGAACTAAAACATTGGAGGAAAGTGACTTAACATTCGAGAACTCTGCTCTGACACTGCCCCCCCCCCTCCTCCAACAGCGAAAGAAATTTATTCACATAGGAAGGGAGAGTGCGTTCTTGACTTTTTTTCAGGAAATTTGACAATGAGATGCCACTTTTCAATTTGGGATGTCTGCTGTGGAACCAGGTCTGAGGATAGGATAATAGCCAACATGCCAACCATTTAGAAAAGAGCTTGTCAAAACCTGCTAGAGCATTAGTGTTTATGTGAGCGCGCACGAGTGTGTGTTTGTGTGTGCGTGTTCGTGCGTGCGTGTACAACGCAGGAGGAAATACAACACATGCCATCACTTCTGACTGACAGCCTAAAATAGTGACGCGTAGGAACTCGGGGGGCGATGCTAGATTTTGTTGTTTTTATTGATGTTAACACCAGCTCCTTTCTGCAAAACTGTACCCTAGAAATGGCGTAAATAACGTCGGTTATGTGGTTTCTGTTAAGATTGACCGTCTCTAAATTTCGGATGAAAGGATGCAATAGGAAGAGGAGAGAGAGAGAGAGAGAGAGAGAGAGAGAGAGAGAGAGAGAGAGAGAGATTTTAATCACTCCTGTCGCTTTAAGGACTCTTATCAAACGCTTATTATGCGAAGAGAGAGCACCGTGAGCCACCGAGCAAGCAAGAGACGGACCGGAGTGGATTTGAGGGGGAAGCCAACATTATCCGAGCTGGAATGGACCGCTTCTCTGCCGTATGGAGTTTGATTTCAAATTGGACCGCTGTCTGACTCGGACGCTTCGGTTCGTTGAGGATATATTGCGCACAAGTAGCACGCAACACTTCAAGCACAGCGAGGAATCATTTCTCAAAACTCAACACGCGGGATTATTGAAGGAACACATCACTCCTCGGTTGACCACCAGCGGTTCGGTCTGGATTGGATAGTATGTCGAGCTCTTTTTGACATTGGATCATGGATCGGGGAGGTGGGGAAACAACAACGGCCGACGACATGATTTCCCTGCACTGTTTGCGCCCCGCAGCGAGGTTCGGCGTTGGCGCTCTGTCAGTGTTCCGATGCAACAAAAGTTACAAAGCGAGTCTAATGCGTGGATTTTGAACTGGATCTGCCATTTTGCACCTGCATTAGCAGATCGCGCATCGACACGGTGCAGATTCGTGACCAAAAAACGTGTGGCTTTTGCCCTCACCTCTCCAGCCTGTGTTGATATTTGCACGTTTGCTTGTCGTAATGGAGATTGGCGAGGTTTTTTACTCAAGGTCATTGAGTGTTTAAGGCTTGATTTACACAAGGTAATTTGCAGTCGTTGCAGCACAGCCTAGGATTGCTCACTGTGTTTGTTGGTGATTCCACGGCGCAGACAGAATCTCCCGTAGAGTTCTGTTTGCTTTGGTTTTGACACTCCAAGCACCCCCCCTCCCTCCTCCTAATATGGATGGTAAATTGAAGAAGGGTCGGAGATGCCGGCCCAAGCGGGAAGGGGTGCGAAGGCTGCGTGATACGGGCAGCAAGGACCCGCGTAGCCCCGACCCCAACTCCGCGTACTCCGATAGGGAGGGACACAGTCCGAGGAGGGACGCTAAAAGGGCGCCGCACCCCGCTGTGGCCGTCCGAGCCCCCCACACCCCTCGGCGGAAGAGACGGGAGTCCAGCTCTCAGGAAGAGGATATAATTGATGGATTTGCTATCGCCAGTTTCATCAGTCTGGACTGTCTGGAGGTAAGCAGGAAGCCCATTATTACCTCCTGTCTGTTGATGTGTACACTCACCCAAAATTACATCATTGCTTCCTTTGCGGGGTACGGTGGCTCTCCACTGGGGTGCTGTCTTGATTGATTTCTAAACTTTTTTTTCTACTCGGGGCCTCAGGAAAATGGAAGGAACAGGATGGCTACTTCATGGCGTTAATGTGTGTGCGTGCGTGTGTGTGTGTGTGTGTGTGTGTGTGTCTATGAAACATTGTAACACCTATCTAATTAAATCTCTTAAATTGTGTGAATGTGAGTGTGAATGGTAATTTGTCCTGTGATTCACTGGTGAAAGTCCAGGGTCTACCCTGTTTCTCAAAGAAGCAAATGGCCGTTGGACCTGATCTTGGCAGATTCCACTTTTTTAGAGAATAATGGATACAATTGTAGTGTCTCTCACCATCCTTATGTTGAACCCATCACATTGGATTCCGGTTGTTCAAACTATAGGTTATTCAGAAAGAGCACATTTATATAATGATTTTAATAACAGACATGTTTTAATCTATGATACATATGTAGGCTACCTCCTTAATTTAAACATGTGTTCTTAAAAATATAAGTGTAAGGTGACCTTTATTACACCCTGTAATTCAGTTTTTAAAGTGTCGGTGTGGATAATACTTCGGTTTGCCTGCTGCTGCTCCAATGAATTTTGCTACCTTGTGAATGAGACATTTCCGACTGGCAGCAAAGGGGTCATGAAGGAAAACAAACAGGTGCTGTCGTGTCTCAAATGGCTTGGATAGTAATGTACTCTCACATTCACCCGGAGTTGTAAATGCACTCCTGACATTTTGCTTGCTGATGAACATCCCTTTCAACAGTTATCTGTTACAGTCTGATGGGCAGGTTGCTGATAACTGTTTCTGGCATTACTTAGTGTTTCTAATGTTAGAATGCTTTAAGGAATGAAAGACATTCTCATGTGACATTCTCTTATTATCTCATTAAGTGGCAAATGAAAAATAAATCTTTACTCCCAGTGGGCCATCACTCTGACTGACAAGGCAGATGTGTGACTGTTTTGATTTTCCATGGCATTAAGGGTTGTCTCATTTAAGCTGGAAAAAACAATCTGGATCTTTAATAAAGACAGCTAGCATGTCCTCAGAGGTCTATATTTCAAGATGATGACCTAATTTACCAGCCCACTGATGATACCACAAGACAACTTGCCACCCATGAATACCCAGCAAAGGAATTAATCAGTCATGTCTCTTTACTCCTACACGGTACTCGATTCGATATGGTTAAATGCAAGTTGTAGCAGAATAATATCATGGAATATCAGACAGGAGTGCACCACCAGACAAAAGCAGAACAGTAGAATTGCCAAATGATGCTCATCAGCTGGGCATTTGTGAACGAGTTTATCCTGTTCAGGTCAAGGGTAATTCAATTGCTTTTGCATTTAGCTGAACCTTTCACTTTGCTTGGAGTGGATTAGAGGGGGCGGGGGGAGAAGGGGGTTGAGGTGCTGGTGAAGTGAAGGTGCTTGAACTCTAACCAGCAACAACCATTGAAGTGCTTTTGAAGTCCCAGAAGGAAGCAGCCTCTCTAGATCAAATATATTGTACCTCATTAAATCTGAGTGTAAGATTACCATTAAGCAGGATGATCTTACTATTTAGTGTCGTGGATGTCATAGCCGTGCTTACATTGTGACATGTTTATGAAGCCAATGTGTGAAAGGAGATCCCCTTGTGTGTTATGATCTTGTATCTGTGATTATTTCTGCCCTCCTGAGCATCTCACAGCTGCTGACTACTTGGAGCATGTCATAGTAGCTAAGTGCTTTACTGACTTCTCTTCTAATAGCATGCCGGTGTCGAAGCGACTGACTTGGAAGATTCTCTTTCGTGGTGCATTTATATATTCACATTTGCCATTTTAGTCTCAAATCAAATTATTTTGGCTGCGCTGTCATTCTTATTCCAGGAATAATTCTTATTACACTACAAACAGCAGTCATTTTAGTGCGAGGTGAAATGGATACACATTATGTCTGTTGATCAGGCCATGACTCATGCTTTCACCTTCATACTGGATGCTGGAGTTGAGTGCGTGACCTACACCACCCGTGCTAATTGCTCATCAGTTATGAGGAGGCTGGCACTTGCAGCGTTTTACCAGGGAATAGTGCTGACCTATTGCATCACGCGCCGATAAGCTTGCACCTCATCAGTGGTAGGAGTGTGTGGTCCTTTTGACCCTGTCAAGGTGATTGATGGCCAGCATGATTGTGTTAGTGTCCGACTACTGTCCCATTAGCATTGTGGAACACAGATGACCCGCCTCTCTGGTTTCATTGAGAATGCATGGCATAAGTATTCCCTGTGGTTTTATTATTATTTTGAGTAAATTATTATAGTTACAATTGTTAACATTATTCTTTTTTTAGCATCCATGTCATCCTTGGGCACTTTTAAAGCACCTACTTCATTTTTTCGTGAATGCCAGCATCACCTCATTGTCTTAGCCTGGAACCTATACACAGATGTTAGTGAATGTTCATAAGTCTTTTTTTCTTCTGTCATTGCACTTTTTGCTGTTGATATTTTAGTTCCAAACTGATAGATTCTAGATTCCTAGATTCTCGCTTAGACTCTCGAATGGCCTCATCTGATCTCCTAACCCATTTCATTAATGCTGAAAGCCATTTGTCACCATGGGTACGTATGATAATGCCATATGTATTTATTTCAATCCCTAGAGGACTCGGGAACAACGATTACACAAATACCAGCCGTCTCTGAATTTAAGAATCAGCTTTGTTTGAGACTGTGATGTTTCAGTCTTTGCAAGTACTACATAGTTCCCTCTTAACAATTTCAAATAAAAGTGCCACTGCACGCGCTGAGCACTTGATTCCCCAGGATAGATGATTTTCACCTGATAGCAATGTTCTCAAACAATTACCCTCTGCTGCTTTGCCATGGGTATTGAACAAGTGAGTGGATAATAAATAATCTCACAGCATTAATGATGTTTGATTTGCTCCGTTTGCTCTCTGAGTAATGTCGGATTCACCAATCCCCTCTAGTTAATCCAAAATCCTGCCGTTCATCTGCTTTTAACATGAATTTACAGATTTGCTTGGGTCTTTTGTTCTGCTGAATGAGTTGTTAAAAATCACTGGATTGCGGATTTAGGTTTAATTAAATTATAGTAGTGGTGTCAAGGTGTAAGGATGCTGAAAGTGAGGCAGACCCTTTTATTTATAGCGTCTTTTTTTTTTTTTTGCTCGGAACGCTGTTGTTTTGGAGATCTTTCTTTTTATTTATCCAGAGAAGAGTAAGCGGGCCCGTTTTTTTTTCCTTAAAGTTTTGTTTTACACACATCATCATCAGTTCTGGCCACTGAGCAGCTCTATAGAGTATCATGGCGAAATTAAGTTTTCTGCCCACATGGATCCTGACAATGATCTTTCGGGAAACTGTGAATCGCTACTTCTCTTTCTCCACCCATCTTTTCCCATCCTGTACTTTGGTTTAAGACCGCAGTATTCCGGTTACAATTGTTTGTCTTTGAATGTAATCAAGTGACAAAATGTGAACTCCCGTCTGAATTTGACATCTCCCTCCTCCAACACACTTGATTCAAATGACCAGATCATCTGCAAGCTCTGAGAAGCCTGATAAATGATCCTGATCATTCTAATCAGGTGTGTTGGAAGAAGGAGATATTTAAAACAGGTTGGGTAGCGTATCTTGACTTGGGTACCTCTGATCTAACAGGTGGACTTTTAGAAAAAAACTCTCCTTGGGGGATGACGGCATTTTCAAGCGCAGAGCGGGAGAGAGAGAAAGAGAGACCGTGCCGGTTGTCTGAGTAAAATGATAAAAAAGAGAAAAAGAGAGAGCGCAAAACAAGCCCTCAGCAGCATTAGCCACTCAAGATGATTTTTTTTAAAATATTGGGAGCAATCTCGATGTGTGACGGGTACAGCAAGTTCCCGTTCATGTTTCTGTAACATTTCGCTGCACTGCGTTTTTGTCACATTATTGCAGGCCCAGTTGCGGTCATGCATTTTACTGGTGTCGTTTGAGGGGCAATATACACAAATTATCTCGCAAACAGTGATGCGAAACCGCTTATTTCGAACCTTGTATAATACATCTATGTCAAATAACGGGTAAGTCAGCGCATCTTGCAAATTTATCAGTTTTGTGTTTAATTAAATAGGACATAAGTACATTTGTACGTGAACTGAGAAGAGAACAGCATTATTTCATAATTCATACTTTTTGTACATACATGGCAATTTCCCGCGGATCCGCGGAAATCCGCCGTTTTATTTCTTAAATTGATCATTTTTGTGAATCGTCTAAATCCGTTGAGAAAATTTTAGGGGCGGTCAGGTACCTTATCGTCGAGTTTTCACGAGCTCTCCCGAACAGTCTCTCCGTTTTCCGTTTGTAAACAGCCCTGCGATTGGACGTGTATGAAAGCTTCAACTAATCAGATCACTGAAGGCATTATTTGTTGCGGAAGTCTTAGCTCGATTATAAACGGCCCAGCGATTGGTTAACTACAAGCGATTGGACCAATCAAATTGCATGTAACATATTGTTTTACCTGATTCATGGCGGCCTGTTCGTCTCGCAAATTCATTGTTCTGGGATCGTTTTGAGCGGAATTATGAAATTTTTGACGAAAGATCAGGAGTCTTTAATCCTAGAAATTGACTCAAATGTCAAGAATAAATTCCGATTGGACTGGCTTGACAGAAAAGTCACTGTAAAGGTTAAAATTGGTTCCAAGTTCGACGAAGTTACAGAAGCTCTTGGACAATAAGCTTTGACGTAGCAGGCAAAGCTTATTGTGTGTATTGTAGTGACTTAATTAACTATGGCTCACGTGGATGCGTTGCACTGACAGATCATGCAACAAAAGTGAAAAAACATGCCGACAAAATCGCCATTCGACGGAGCAATTATCCTTTGGGATCGGCATTTTTCAATCAAA